GAGCGTGTGAGAGAGAGAGAGAGAGAGAGATAGGGAGACAGAGGGTGAGAGGGACAGTGACTGCACCAGTCGTGGCGATGATCTTACATGCGTGGTGGCATCTCGACGGGCGGGGCGATCTCAAACCGCGGCTGCCTCGGGAAAGCAAGGAGATCTGCCAGTTCTGCCATGTGCAAATGTGAGAGGTGCGCCCTGCGTTCCGAACCGCGTCGCGAGAGCCGCATTGACGCGTGAGCGACGCAGGCGATGCATTCAGGAGATATCTGGCTGAAGGGGGGGCCGCCGAGAGAAGTCCCAAGGAAGATTGGGCGATCCCAGCAAATGGAAGAAGTGGCGTGAATGCCCCTCCCCATCGCGGAAAGAGACAGAGGAGATCGAGATAGCAACGCAATCCATGGGATAGGGGCGAGTCTCCGGACCTCGGATTGTCGACTGGGGCTCCCATGAATACTCGGAGCATTGCTGCAAGGGGGAGCTGGTTTCCTTCGGAATTCGTAGACTCGCCGAATGATCCCCCTGAAAAGTCGCGTGATGCCCCCGACGTGGTGCCCGGCGCTGCCCCGAGCGCCCGCAGTTCCACCGGGGGTGGGGGCGGAGGGGGTGGGGCCCCCAGGGGGTGGAGGCGGGGGCTGGACATCGAGGTTCTTCGGCCCCTATCACCCACTCCTTGAATTTTGGAGACAGGTGCGAAAAACAACGGAGATTGAGCTGTTGCTAATTCCTCGCCCGATGGGGCTTTGTGAGTGGAAACTCCACGCGATGGGAGTTATATTTTTTGCGCCCCCAGACATAAAGAGTGCTTTACAATGATTAAACTAGTCATCGCCCCTGCGTTGCCGCCGCGTCGCCGCCGCGACGCTGCCTGACGACGATGCCCGCCGAAGCTGTTTCGGCTGCGATGACGGGAGAGCGCCCCGCCCCGTCGCGCGCGCGTCCTTCGGGCGCCCTTCTCGGTCGGCCGGGCCTCGCCCGTCTATCGCGGCCTTAGCTCGACGGCGCGTGGGAGGGAGATCATCGAAACGAACGCGCATGGTTTGCGAAAGCTCCCCCCTGACGGAGAACAGGCAAAACGTTGGTTATCGGCCGAAAGTTCGTTCGCCGATGAAAGCGACGTCACGGGGGGGAGAAACCGCGTTATTCCCTTCGGTGCGCGATGTGCGAGAGAAGAACGACCATGGGCGCGGCTAAGGCATGAGCGTTTTCGTGGCTGCTTTCTCCGCCTATGTCGGGGGGCAGGCCCCGCGTGCTCATCCGAAGATCAGCTGGGGCATGTCTTGCGGCGATGAGCGGCGCCCTGATGCTCCGAGGGCCAGCGGCGACGAGAAACCTGGTGCCGGCGAGCAGATGCCGGTGCCGATCGCCGGCCACCCCGGCGTGGCCAGGAACCTTTCGGAGGACGAGCAGGACCTGGAGTCTATCTCATCAGATGAGCATGTCCCCTCAAGTCGACGCCCAGACCGCTCGCCTACGGGGGTGCTGACCTGCCGCCGGGAGGGGAAACGGGGGCCTGCGGCGTCGGTTCTCGTGCTCCCCCGGTCGACGAACCGTCTTCTGAATCCGCGCCCTATGCCGGCGGCGGGGAGGCTGCGTTCCCGCCCGACGACTTTTTCGAGCGGGATCTCGAGGAAATCGCGGAGTGCCAGCCTGCGGACAGCCCAGCCAGAACCTCTACCAGGCACACTGCATGACGTCCCCGCTTATCAAGCGGAAAATGTCTGATGGCCGACAGCTGCGCGGCCGGGCCTCTCTCGCCTACTGTCCAGGCCGACTATCGGCTTTCGGTCCCAGTGCCCGAGACTCCTGACCCGCGTGCGCGCTCTCCCCGCAAGAGGAGCTCGGACAGAGGCAGACCGAGGGCGTCGCGACCGCGATCGGATGCGTCCGACCGTTCGCTTCCCTCATGCCGGTCGAGCGCGTTATGCGCATCGACGCGCAGTGCGCTTATTTGGGTGCGTGGTGCGCGGCGGTCCCAGGAACGCGGTGCCTTGGGGCGCTTGGCGAATGCAAGAAGCCGGTGTGTCATGGGTGCTCAGGGTTTTGGCCTCTGCAACCAGGAGTTCTTGCCCCCTGCGAGTCGTGCCCAAGCCTCGCAAAACTGCGCGGGATTGCGTGCAGACGAGTGGCGCGAGGCCGAGGAGAGGAAGAGGCTCGAGATCACAGAGGCCCGAGTGCGAGATGTAGCCGAGATGCGTGAGCAATTCCGACAATCTGACTTCCAGCAACGGGCTGCCGCTGCTCCCCAGGTAGATCGGGGCCGAGAGGCAATGGTGCATGCCGTGAAGCTTCCCGCGGAGCGCCAAAAGGCGGCAGCGGCCGAGCAGGCCCTGGCGGCGACAGCCGAGGTGCGTGAGCATGCGAGCCGGCTGAAGGTTGCTGCTGCACCCGAGCGCCACGCGCCATTTCCAGAGAAAGACATCGCAGAGGCAGCCGGGCGCGTCGGCCCGCCAACCTGCAGCCGCTGCTGCTGCCCTTGCCGCCAATACCTCGGGTCTCACTCAGCTTCGGGTCCGACCTGTCCGAGCAGGCGAGCAGGCCCCCGTGCGATGTCTGCCGCCGCACTTCAGACACGGGCCTTGGCGGCCGTCGCCTCGATGTTCTCCGCCGCTGCCGAAGAACTTCCTGCCCGTGCGGTGCTTGTTGATCTGTTGCCGAGCATCTTGCCGGCGTCTCTGGCTTGACTGGAACTGTGCGAAGGCCTTTTCTTCCTCAGTATCTGCCGCCGTGTACGCGTCGTCGCCTGTGCCTTCTTCCTTGTTCTCCTCTGCCGGCGTCGCCGCAAGCGCAGTGTTTTTCTCGTCGTCGCCGTTCCAGGTCTGCGCGTTCTCGCCGTAGAATGCTGGTGCTGCAACCTGCTGTCTGATAATATTTGACTGCCCGTAGTCGCGATCCTTCAGGTTCTCGTCGCTCGGCCATTGGGTCCTCAGCGCCGTCTCGACGCTGTGGGCAGTGAGCTCACCTCGGCGGGACCCAATCGCAGCCGCTGTCTCACGGCCGTCCGGGCCCGCACGATGTGGTACGTACCATCCACGCACCACGCTGGGAAACACCTCGGGCAGGTCCTGGGTGGGGAACGCGCGCTGGCTGCCGTTGTCGTTCCACTTCCAGTTCTGGCTTCTCCAGCGGTCTCGCCACCTGTCGCCGCTCCACTCATGCTTAATCTCTCCGATTCCACTCGGCTCTGGGAGCTGTCCAGTCCTGAACTTCGGCCTCGTCGTCTGCTTCTCTGGCTGCGGTGCCTTCATCATCCTCAGCTGGTACCTGGTACCATGAAGCATGCGTAGTCGGCCACTGTCTGAAGCCGCTTGTGTGTTCGGAATGTCTAGCATGTGGTCGCCGCCCTTCCTGATCATCCTGGCGAGAGCCACTCTCAGCCGCTGGTAGCACTCGTGGACCCTCAAGCAGTACCGCGCCATGCCTTCACCGCGCTGGCGGTGTAATTTGACAATATTCTATTCCGTGTAGTGGCCCACGTCTTCGACTGGCTGGCGCGTCGCGTTCTTCTGGAGATATTCTAGACGCTTCGCGTATCCCCATCAGCCCGTCCAGAAACGACGCCCAGGCGAGTAGAGGGTCGTCCTGAGGGGCTTTTCGGCGTCTTGGGTGCCTCGGGGGGGCCTCTGTGGACCGTTCGGGATCCTCTTTGGGGCCTCCTGGGGGCCTCTTGGGGCCTCTTGGGGCCATCTTGGGGCCTTTGGGGGCCTCCTGGGCGCTTCTTGGGGCCATCTTTGCCCCTTGGGTGCCTCTGGGGGGTCTGTTGGGGCCTCTTGGGGGTCTCTTGGGGGCCTCCTGGGGGCCTCTTGGGGGGCCTCTTGGGGCCATCTTGGGGCATCCTGGGGGCCTCTTGCGGCCATCGTGGAGGAAATCGATCAAAGAAGAGGGGAACTCTAATTAGCGCTGCCCCCTCAGAAGGCCAAAGGCCAAAACCATGGTAAAATCAATGATTTTGGCTTCCTCGCCGAGGCCGTTTTGGACGCTCTGACCGCTCCCGGCCCCTCCTGTCCAGGTCAGTGGGGAGGGGGTAGGGGGAGGGCTAAACCCCTCACCGAAGGGGAAGAGGGAGGGGTGGAAGAGGAAACGCCCTAAACCACCGACGCCCAGAGGGCTGGTGGGATTCCAGCAAGGTGTCGGCTCCCCACGACGTGGGCAGCCATCCCCGCGGCCGCCCGATGCAGGCGGTAGCCGCGGTTCGGTCAGGCGTGCGACCAGCCTGGGGCCGCACAAGTACTTGCCCCACCGTTTCGTGCCGTCCACGCAGTTCATGCCATCTTGCTGATGCTTGTCCAACGTACTGGCGCTGCCGTTCCACGTCGGCACCGCCTGGGACTCGGTCATCTCCATGGAGCAGAAACCTGCCCCGCTACCGTGTCAAGCGAAGCAGGGCGCACGCCTATCCTCTCCACGTCGGGCCAGTCTGTCTCGCTGCTGGCTCCTCCGAGGTGCACCCTCTGGCACCTGCTCTTCACTAGCACGCTGCACGAGATGACACAGAGAGGTGGATGTAGTATTGGGCTCGCTAATGTGTTTGAGAGAATGGGAGAGCGAGGGGGTCACTTGACCCTGGGGCCCCTGAGGTCCCATTGAAGGCTTGCAGCCAAATGGCTATGGACAGCGAATCACTATGCATCGAGAAATCGGCCCCCTCCCCCTCCCCCTCCCGTGCTGTTCGGGTGCTCTGCTGGGTCAGCCCGCCGCTTTGCGGTAGATCGTCATATTTCTTGTTGTGTACATTTTGGGGTCGTGCGGGCCTCTCGAGGGTTATTCGGCCGGTTTTCGGACCTGTTGGCGGCGTCACGATTCACAGTTGAAGCATCCTGTGGGATGGGGGTGCCAGGGGGCCTGTTTTTGCGAGGGTCTCGCTTGCGGAGGCGCCGTGTCAGGGCTCGTCACTCTGGTCCCAACTGCGCCCTGGAACTGGTGCCAGCAGGCGCGGCTAGGGGCTTCGCTTCTCGCGCGTCGGAGGTCGGTGGTGGCGTGGGTCCACGACAAGATTCCCCTGATCAGGCCATGCTTGGCCTGGCCAGAAACATGACCCCACCGTGAACCTCCAATAGCGACTGAGTTGCGGAAGGCGTGCGTTCATCTAACCTCCATGGTGATAACGTTGCAAGGCACATTCGGGCGAATTCGACACTGGCAGCGTGGTGACCCCGCACGGGGGCGGCGGATTTCACAGGGTGCGTGCTCGTGTTCGTTGTAGATGTTCTGTTTGCTGTAGTTCTTCGAGGCGCTACATCTCAGCGTGTTGCTGAGGCCGTCATGCAATGCATGGACACGGTTGTCCTGATCACCGACCGTTTTACGAGTGGTGATCTTGGCGTTGATACCAGTATTAAAAGCCTCCAGGGTGGCATTGCTATGGCTCGTTTCTGGGATGGCGAGGCAGAGAAAGAAGACCTGGTCTGGAGTACGATGTGGACAGAGCCTTACAATTCAGACCTCATCCATGCTCTCCTTGACCAGTTCGATGCTGCGTATTTAGCTGCATATGCCATACAGGCGTGTGCTGCTCGTACTGGCACTGCAGCGATCGCGACTTCATTGTTGGTGGAGTTGGGTGTCGGGCACACTGCTCTTTTGTGTGCTCGAGCTACGCGGATAGCCCTTATTGAGGATCCGCGTGCTGGAAGGCCAGATTTCTCAAGCTACTACGACATGTTTGGGGCTGAGGCACCTTTCAGCAGGGCGATGTCGATTAATCTTGAAGCGTGCGCCCAGCCACTGCAGCCCAGGCGAAGGCAGTCCACGCTCGGCAACATCGAGGTGCTTCTGGCAGCGGTCGAACAAGAGCGGCTCGACAACAGTGTAACCAGCGATCCGCGCGAGCAGCGGCGGAGAGACTCGGTGATAGTGGTTCCAGCGCTGACGGCGGATGGCCTGCCCGAGCAGCCAGACAGCTGTTCACTCGCTCAGGGTGCAGCGCGGATGGCGTTGAGAGCAGGCGTCTGTGCCCTGCACCTGGCCCTGGAACGGATCGAGGTGCTGCTCCACGAGCACGGCCGCTGGAATGCACATGGTTAGGCAGAGGCCATGCCGATGCTGCTCTGCGAGGCGCCCTCAGGGCGGGTGCAGTCCCAGGGTTCAGCCCCCGTGAGCCATGGCCGAGGCAACATATCGAGCATTCGTTGCGAGGACTCAAAGTCAGGCCATCACCTCCAGACGCTTGCATTGGCACTACCCGTCGGGGCCGCTGCTGGTTTGTTCATTATACGAGGCGCGTGTTGTGGATTTCGATGTACACTGATCGCCACCCCGCCTTGCAAACACACAATGAAGGACGAGCTTGAGGAGAAGGAGGAAAAGGAGGAGGAGAAGGAGGAGGAGGAGGAGAAGAGAAAGAAGGGGTAGTGGTAAGGATGCGGTAGAGAGGGATGGGGGCCTCGTGGTGTCGTTTGTATTTCGGTGCCCGCCTTCGCGATTGCAACTCAATGGTCCGGATACCCCAGCAAGCGGAGCTGTCAGTTCTCGGGGAGAGCGACCCATGAGAGGAAGTTGTCGGAGTCATCATCCTTCCCCTCTTCCTCCTTCCGCGTGTTGCTATTGCACGTTGCACGCGACCGAAGGGAGTCCGTGCACTCCAGGGGCCCAAAGCAGCAACATGGGTGGATGGGCGGGCCAGACGGCGGCTCTACAGAGCACCCCCGTGTCCACACATCCCCAAGGCGGAAGGGCCAGAGCTCCCCCATGACGGGGCGGCCCAGCCAGACGAGAAGTCGCGGTGGAGTTGCTTCTGGGCGGAATCGTCGCCATCGCATCCAGCGGCGCTCCATGCTCGGACACCGGCAGCGGCAGCGAATCGTAGGCGGTTGCGCACGGTGCTATTCTGAGTCACTAAGTCTTCTGTAAGTTCTCCAGCCTGGACCTCGTTCCACTTCCCCTTCTGCAGCCCGCATTCGAGTTGCGGTCCCAGCGTTGTACCGAACGCGTGTACCCGTGTCTGTCGTTGCTGACAAGTTTTGTCAGCTCGGGGGCTGCCAGCTTTACACCACACCGACCTGGCCAGGCTAATCCTTGGCGCCCTGGGCCCTTCATCGAAGCACGTGCATATTGGGCGCCCTCCTATGATGAGCCGCAGCAGACCACTGCCCTCGACGAAATGTGTGTCCCCACATAGTTTCGGGGGTGGACAGGACCCCCACCCTGACACGTCGATTAGTGAATTGTCCGTTTGCGGTTCTCGAGAGGGCGCCGCGACCGTCATTTCCAGGCTTGCGCCTGCCAGGTTTGGGCCCGAGGTCGTCTTCACTAAAACCAAGTTTTGCTAGAGGGGCTTCTGTCCATCCCCGATAGTTCTTGCACCGAGAGTGATTTTCCTGAGCAGTGCTGGCGCTTAGGGGTTCTCACTTGGCTCACTTTCCGATGAATTGGACGGGTGCGTCGAGGATTCGCCACGTCGCCGCCCGCTGCCGCTCGTCGCCGCCCGTTGCCGCCCGTCGCCGCCCGTTGCCGCTGGTGTGGGTGCGTCGAGGATTTCCCACGTTCCCGCCCGTTGCCGCTCGTTGCCGCCCGCTGCCGCCCGTCGCCGCCCGTTGCCGCCCGTCGTCGCCCGGCGCCGGCTCGGGTGGGCGTGTCGAGGACTCGCCGTGCTCTTGCCCGCTGCCGCCCCGTGCGCTCCCGCATCCGGCGGGGAGACGCGAAGCGTTGAGAGTACGCTGTAAGAACGGTTTTTTGAAGGCAGATCTGCCTTCAAAAAATGGTCTACTCTGTAAGAACGATTTTTTGAAGGCAGATCTGCCTTCAAAAAACCGTTCTTACAGAGTAGACTCTGCGTCCCACGCAGTGGGCCGCAGCTTTGCCGCACGGCTTCCACCACACGCTTTCCACCGCGCGGCCTCCACCACAGCCTCCACTACACAGCTGCAGCCACGTGGCTCCCGCCACCGGAGTGCGAAAGCTCGTTGCCTGGGCTGGGGTCCACGCTGGTGGACGTACTTGCGTTACCAAATATTTGGACGGGTGAGTCGGGGTTTCGGCTGGTGCCCGATTCGTGCCGCCTCGTGGCCGCCCTGTGCGCTGGGTGGAGGACAGTGGTCTCGACGGGTGCCCGATTGGTGCCGCCTCGCTACCGCCTCGGGCGCCGGATGGGTGTGCTGGGGCGACGGCTGGGGGGCGATGCGGCAACGAAGCGGCAGCGAGGCGGCACCAGTCGGGCACCAGCCGAAACCCCGACACACCCGTCCAGCGCCCGAGGCGGCAACGAGGCGGCAACGAGGCGGCATCAACCAGGCGCAAGCCGAACCCCCGACACATCCGCAGTGCATTCACTTGCTGTTTTGTCGAGCCCCCCTGACCAGTGCCCATGTTTTTCCCCACTCGGATTGCCCGTCCTGCATTTGCAGTTTCTATTTTGGCAGCGAAACATTTGGGCCTCAATCGTGTACGTCTCCATCGCGAGACTGCGTCACAGCTTCTAACGAATCGCGTTGCCGCCTAATATTGTGAAGGCCTTAGGGTCGGTGCCGTCGATCCAGAAGGACGATGACCACGACGACGACTACGAAGAGAACGAAAACGACGAGCTGATGACCTTGCCACAGGCTCGGGACATGAGGCGGACGGCAGAGGGAGGAGGAGGAGGAGGAGGAGGGCCAGTGTAAACCCAAGACTCATCAACGATATTGCTACACACCCTCCCTCTAAGTTCCCTGTTCATATGCCCCTACACAGGTTGATTTGCACTGGCGAAAGTTCCTGGTTGGAAGACAAGCGTTAAAAAATCTGGACTCAAGGCCGCGAATCACCATTATTGTTGCGTGTTGACGATCCTGCATCGTGCCAGAAACCGTTCCTGGGCCTTCAACACCGCGAGTCAACGTGGCTGTTGCACTCTGACGTTTCGACATCGTGCCGAAACACCATTCCTGGGACGTTAACCAGAGAATCCATGAAACTGTTGCAGACTCTTAAGACGAAGGTGCGCGGCGCTAAGTCGAGAGCCACATTTTGAAAAGAGTGCCCGCGGCAAGATGCAGTCGGCGCAAGGCTACTTACGTTGCCACTAGAGCGTGGCAACGGAATTGGACTCCTCATTGATCCCTCGACGATCCCTGGCCCCCGATCAGACTTCTTTCTCGTTCCCTCCATGATTTTTCAAACCGTTGGATGTATGGGAAGGGCGGGAGGAGGGGAGACGCAGTCAATCCCCTTCCTCCTGCTCCCCCCCCTCCCCCCCCCGCGCCCCCCCTGCACCCTGTTCGGGCGCCTTTTGCGACAGGGATCGGGGAGGGCGACGAGGCCGCCGGGCCTAGCGCTGCGGACGGCCTCCTCCCCCCAAGGGCACGGAAGTGGTCGACGAGGCCGCTGCGTCTCTTGCAGCCGAAGGCCATCACCCCCCTAGCTAGCTCCCAGCCTCGAATCAAGGATGCCGAGCCTATTGACGCGTAAGAGAATTAGAAATCCGCCCACCTTGAAGGGGGGCCCTGCTGCCTAGATGTCGCGCAAGGAGCCGAACAGATCCTCCGCGATGCTCGCCCGCTCTGCCGCGGCCGCGACAGCAGCGCCGTCGTCCAAGGCCCTGTTGATGCCCGCGGGGGGTGGGGCCACGTCGAAGGCCTTGACCATGTTTTCTGCGGAGGGCCTTCGCCTGCCCCGCGGCTGGGCCAGACAGCATCTTGACCCTGTAGTCGTTGGTCTTGCCCCTTCCGCTCCAAGATCAAAGGATGCAAGGTCTTGTCAGGCACAGGCGCGGGATCAACGTGCAGTCTCAGGATGCAAGGATCAAGATGCAATCTCAGGTTCCAAGATCAAAGGTTCCAAGATCAAAGGTGCAAGGCGCAATCTCAGGATGCAAGGATCGCGGGATCAAGGTGCAATCTCAGGTTCCAAGATCAAAGGATGCAATGCGCAATTTCAGGATGCAAGGCCTTGATTGGCACAGGCGCGGGACCCTGGGACCTGGGAAGCCCCCGTTGTCCCTGCAAGGCAAGGATGCAAGACTCCTGCGCCGGCATCGCGCCGAGGACGGGCCGACAAAGCAAGGATGCGGCGGCGCCCTGTTTGAAACACCACGCCCCTGCGATTGAGGGAGATTCAACGAAGAGCGGACCTGCAATGTTTCCGCGTGGTGAGAATCCCACATGGCCTTCTTCTGCACCGCTGAGGCGATCACCGCGTTGCCAACCGCGAAGCGAACCTTCCGACGAACTACGGCGATGCGAGGGGAAGGGACATAAGACGGTCCTTACCACCCCCCCAGAAACAGTGGCAGCATGATTCCTTAGCAGAGGGAGTGATCGACTGCAGCATGCATCTTCTCGTTTCCGCGCTCGCTATTGTAACACATGCTGCTTCGAGACCGCCGCACGGAGTACATTGGTCTGATGGAGCCCCCCTGGGGGGAAGGGCCCAGCACGCTGGCTTCCCACATTGCCCAGGTACCAGTTTGCTCACCGAGTATGCTGGCCAGGCACATTCGACGGTCCCCCCCCGCGCGGGCTGGGCGAGGAGGGCAGCAAGTGAGGAGGAGGCAGGCCATGGGCTTGCGTTTCCGAGCCCATACGGTTATGGGAAGCCAGACCACCGCCGCTGGACGGCCGTCCTAGGGGGCCCCAAGAAGGCCCCGAAAGGCCACCCAAATCCCAGAAGCATCCCAGACACAGTCCCAGTCAAGTCTGAGACTTCTCTTGGATTGTTCTGGGATTTTGGGGTCCCCGTCTGGGGACCAGGGCCGCCCCAAGAGGGCCCCAAAAGGGCGCCAGAAGGGCCCCAACAGGGCCCCACAAATCCCAGAAAAATCTTGAACAGTCCCAGTCAAGTTTGGGATTTCTTTGATTTTCATGGGATTCTGGGGGGCCTAGGCTGCCCTCCTGGAGACCCCCCAAGGTCTTCCTGAGGCCCTCGGACGTCCCCGCAGAAGTTTCCCGAGACACCGCCAATGATGCTCCGGGACAGGCTCCCGGGAACACGACACCACAATCCCATGGGCAAGAGGGGGTTCGTGACAAGCGGAGCAGCCCCAATCCAGCAAGGCCACGCACGCACACGCTCTATCTCGGGCGCTGACACCCTCTTGTCAGAGTGGGGGGGCGAATGGTCTGACAGTGTCGCTGCGTCCGTGGCTGAGGTGGGGATCCGCGGTGAGAACTCTGCTTGCTGTTGAATTTTTATATTTAGAGAACAAACATTATTCACCACCCACCAAACCACCCCAACCCAACCCGAAGGCCCAAATTTATCCTCGATTTCCAGTGGGGGGGGGTCGGGGAACGTTGAAAAACACATGGTATCCGTACCCCCCCCAACCCGAAATTCGGGTCAAATTCGGGTCTTCGGGTTGGG